GCTGCGGGGTGAGGGGAGTGGGCAAAGCAAAGAGGAGGTCATGGTCCTCGTGGATCTCCCGCACAGAGGGAGGGAGGAGGGAGATAAGCACTTACACACATAATCCAACCAGGAGTCAGACCTGGATAGAGGCCACGAGAGGGACATGGACAAATCCCACAGGGGTTCAAAGGAAGTGGGCTCCCTGTGGGTGGGGGCTCAGGAGGGGCTTCAGGAAAGGGCTACACTTGAGATCGATCTTCACGGATGAGTGGGGCTTCTGCTGCTGAAGCACTGGATGGGGCTTGGAGAGGCAGCTGCCACAGGAGGGGCGACTGAGCAGGTGAGGACACCTGGGGTGGAGAGTGAAGGGGGGAGGCAGACGGCACGTGAGCAAAGCAGGTGGGACCACGAGGTGGGGGCACAGGCCTTCCTTCATGTTAGAGGCAGCGAAGCACGTGCCGAGATGGGAGAGGCTCTTAGGTTGGCTTTGGAGCTGATGCATGTTGAATTAGAGGGGACAGACAAACAGAGGAAAAGAGAGCCATAGAGAAGCTTCTTAATACTTGTTCAGGCCCCAGAAAATGGGATTAGCTGTGAATATGCCAATGAGGGAAATGTGGGCAATGATGCCAAGGTCTTGAACCAAGAACGTCAGGAGGAGGGGCGGGTAGGAGGGGACTCAGGCTTGTTTCTTGGTGGGCAGCCAAGTGTTGATTACTGAAATGAGCAAACCCACGTCAATCCCTCCCTCGCAAATACCCAAACAGGTGAAATTCTGAACCAGGACATTTCACCTGTACATGGGGGTGGTGGAGGGGGTGGACAATGGCCGAGAGTCCGAGGGAAAATAAGGCTAGAGAGTGTCACCTGCCCCACACATCCGTACTCCCAGGTTCCCTGGGTCCCCAGCGAGGGAAGACACTAGATCAAGGTCTTTCTCAGCGTTCGTGGAATGCAGTGTAGAAGCGGTGGGAGAGAAAGAGCTGGTGCTAGAGCACAGGGGATGGGTAGGGGGGCTAGGGGGCTGGCTGTGGCTGAGTTACCATCCACTCCCAGAGACTGCAAGCACTCGGGCCGGACTGAGGAAGTGTTTCCCCAGAAAAGGAGAGCGGAAGAGCTTCTGTGCACAAGCAGATTGCACACACTCGCGCGCGCACTCACACACATCTTTACATCTCATTTTACCCTGTCATGAAATCAGAGGGCAGAGAAAGACACCTGCTATCCTCAGTCCTTTTGGAATCTTGCTGCAGTGACTTGAGGCTGCTGGTTTTGCTAACGCTGCTGTTGGCACAGAATCCTGAAGGCCTTGGCAGAGGCTGTGGGCAAAGGTGGGGCGGTGGTGGAGAGGATGCTCGGACCCTGGGACTGGTATTTCCGCTGCTTCATGCAGCTGGGGGTGGGGGTGGATGAAAGGTGTCCCCATTTATAAATAGCTGGTGTCAGACGTTTGAGATCCCGGAGCTCTGGAGCTGGAAGGGGCTGTCTGTTCAGAGATGAGGTAACTCAGACCCCGAGAGGTTACCTTGCTTATCTAAGGCTGGGCACAAGCCTTGCCCACCTCTGACTTGGGTTCTAGTGAGCTTTTCCCTGTGGCCGGCCTGCTGCCCATCTCCTACTGGTTCTAGGACACCTCTGTAAGGGTGACCTGGACAGCCCCGGGAACAAGGGGACTCACCTGTGCTGGGCCGCAGGGAGGAGGTGAGCAGGCAGGGCAGGTGCTTCCTGCATCATTCTCTGCAGCTGCAAGAACCTCTTCGCTGGAGTCAACAGCCTCTGCATTTTCAGGGGTGCGAGCAGAAAGCCAGCAGTTTGCAGACAGTCGTTGGGAGATGTGCCCGGCTGTACCCTGCCAGGCTTTATAGAGCCCCAAGACTCCTGCCCCCGGAGGTCACGCCCCTGCTTATCAAGAGGCTCCGTTGGCTTCCTAAACTGGGCCAAAGGTCTCAGAACACGGGCAAGTCCAAGGAAAACATCTCTCCAACATGTACGCAGCCGCCCTGCGCCCGGGTGTGCGCAGGAGTGAGCAGCTCTGATTCCTCCCGGCTCGGCCCCGCGGCAGCCTGAGGGGTGCCCAGTCCCCTCAGCGGCTACGCTGGCCCCGGGAACGCGCCCTAAGGTAGCTCCACCTGGCCTGTCTCGGACCCTGGCTTCTCATCCGAGTTATTTTTGCTTGGTGGTCCAGAGTGCTCTCTGTGGGGTTAGCTGTTATTATTTTAATGTATTATGCATAATAAAAATTTTTTTTTCCCAAAACCAAAAGGAGTGAATCTTTTAATAGTAGCCCTTGAAGTCATTGGGAGTGGGTATTGGCACACGGGCAAAGGGCTGGTATCAGAAACGGTATGGAACCTGCTAGATTTCTTTTTTTTTTTTAATCCTTACCTGGGGATTTGTTTTTATAGATTTTAGAGAGAAAGGAAGGGAAAGGGAGAGACTCGTCAATGTGAGAAACATCAATTGGTTGCCTACTGCACTTGCCCCGACTGGGGCCAGGGATTGAACCTGCAATCTAGGTGTGTGCCCTTGACCAGGAATCGAACCCGAGACCCTTCAATCCCTGGTCCGACACTCTAACCACTGAGCCACACCGGCCAGGCCCTTCTTGGTCTACACTCTGCCTGTATCTGAGCAGCTAAACATGGCTGAAGAGAAACAGCACTGCACTGACGGGTTCGCTTTCGTTTGCAACCACGCAGCTCAGCGGCCCTCAGCGGGCCTGGCTGCGGGGCCCGTCTGCGTAGCTAAGGCCCTTCCACTGCTTCCACCTGCGGGCCCGCTCGGGAGGGGGGAAGCGCCCGCTGCTGGGGGCCCTGTTAATGGGTAACAGAAACCTCTTACTTGGCAGGTCCCGCCTTTGTGACCGCCTGGGGCGACGTTCAGATATGCATCTTTAAGAGGGAGAAGGGCTGAGGCTTACAGGCGATGGGATAGATTTTTATCTAATCAGGTGAGAGGTCCTGGGGAAAAGTAGGGCAAAGGGTAAGGCTCTGATGAAGTGCTCGGAAGAAAAACACTGGGTGAGTCACTGTTTTGGGGTTCCCGCTGCAGGCGTGGTCTTGTGTTCATACCACCCAGGGAGCAAAGCCAGTGAGATTCTCCATGAGCAACCCTGGAACCACCTGTCATCCCTTCTCTGGTATTTATGGTCAGCTTTTGCCTTCACAGACATTTAAAGAGTTGGGGGAAAATTAGGCGCTTATAGTCATTTTATGTCGATAACAAATAATATGCCACAAAGTGACCAATTTACATAAGTGATCTCCTGTGCTTTTCCTGAGGTCTCAGAATTTTGTTGATAGATAGTTGGCATACTTAATATTTGCATAGCATTTATTTTTTGTTAATACCCAAGGATATTTTTTTCCATTGACTTTTAGAGAGACTGGAAGGGAGGGGAGAGGGGGAGAGAGAGAAACATCGACGTGAGAGATATGCGTCTGTTGGTTGCTTCTTACATGACCACCGACTGGTTTGCAGGTTCTACCCCTGGTTACATCTTCAGCTAAAGACAAAAGAAAGGTCTTTACGTAGGAAAAAAAATCTGACAAGATTCACCTTCTATCTTTGTTGAAAAGTCAGCAAAGTAGGTGTAGGAGAGAACTTTTAAAACTTGCTTAAAATTTTTTAAAACTAAAAAAACCTACATGTACTTAAGGGAGAATCATTCATTTAATATCAGAAACAAGACAAGGATGACCACTATCATTTATCACGCTGTACTCGAGATTCTGGCTAATGCTTTAAAAAAGAGAAAGAAATAATAGTTGAGAGGATTGAAGAGAAGATATAAAATTATTATTATTTGCAGATGATGTATTTAGTTTTCTAGAAATCTCAACTAAAGTTAATCAAATATTTGAATTAAAGAAAGGATTCAATAGTTGTCAGAGACATCAATTTAAAAAAAAATCAGCCCTCATCGGCAACCAATGGATGTGTCTCTCTCACATAGGTTTCTCTCTCTCTCTCCCTCTCCCTCTCCCTCTCTCTCTGTCTCTCTCTCTCTCCCTCTTTCTCTCTCTCTGCTCTCTCCTCCTCCCTTCCACACTCTCTAAGAACCAATGGAAAAAATATCCTCAAGTGAGGATTAACAAACAAAAAAAAGCCCATAGGATTTCTCTACATTAGCATTAACCAACTCAGAACTAGTAAATCCAATTAACAATAGCAACAAAACCTCTATTATGTCTAGAAATTAATTTAACCAAGATTATGTAATACCTCTGTGGAAAGACTTTTACAACTTGAATCAACAACATGGAAGATGATTTGAAAAAATAGAGAAATATTCTATGGCCCTTGGGTGGCACAATTTACATTAGAAAGATAGTTATTCTTCCAAAATCCATCCACAAATTCATTGAAACCCAATAAAAATGCCAGTTGGATTTTTTTAGGAACTTGGTTATTATTTTTCTGAAATATCGATTTTTTTTTTTAAGTTTCAGAAATGTCTAAGTTAAACTTGAAAAACAAGAACAGTGAAGGACACTTCTTTCAGGTATACCAATTCCAGTAATAAAAATAGTGGGGTTTTTTTGGTGCAAGAATAGGCCACTGGGGTAAAATAGAGTACTCAGCAGCAGACTCACGCCCACATGGGCATTTTCATGATACCTATTGTGTCACCCATTAATTGGGGGAGGATAGATCATCTACTAGATATGTATTTTGTGAAGAAATGTAAAACTAAACTCACACGGGGAGCCGAAGGTACTTTGGGAGTCTATCATTGGAGAGAAATTTGTAAAGTGTGGTTGGAGGTACAACACGCAGGCCTACGAGATGGTCAGGCTCAGAGTTCAAGTGCACACACGTGGCAACATTGCTGAACTAAGGCAGAGTAACTTTTATGTAAGTTTAAATACTCACAGAGCAAAATACATATTTTACAAAAACAGCTACAAATAGGAATGGTTGTCAAGGTGGGGTGACGGAGGGAGCTGGAGTGGAAGAATAAATGATAGAAACACAGATTTTATATCCATAGCTACATGACTGACAGTGCAGTGGAATTAACACAGACTTTGGCGTCAGCTGTATCCTACCTGGATGAACTCAGCTAATCACTTAGAATTCCTTAGAATCAGTTTCTTCACTTATTAGTGGGGAAAATAGTAGTTCCTGTGTCGTTGGAGTATGGGGGTGGTGAAGGCGGGTAATGCGTGTAAGGCTCTGAACACAGTACCTTGAACACAGTAAGTGTTGGATAATTGAACGCTGTCATTTTTACCTTTGTGTCTTGGGGAGGGGAGGAGAAGGTGAACCTGTCTCCACGGGCTGAAGGGGACCCGGCCTGCAGAAAGTCCAGAAGCTCCCTCTCACTGCCCACGGCCCATTTCCTCGACCAGAGCCCGTGCCTCTCGTTTGTGCACACTACGGGACCTTGGGAAATCCAGGCAGGGTCTGCGTGTGAATGCTCTCAGCCTTTCGTGAGATAAAAAGAGCCATTTGGCTGTAAGGAAGGAACTTGGCAGCCCGCGACTCTGCTGGCTTCAGGATCTAGGGCATCAAAGCACCGTCGCCATCCCTGCAGGTGTTCTAAGCGTGGTGAATGCGATCATCGGGCTTTTAGCTCCGATCAGAGGCAGAATAGATTTCCTCTTGCACCCACTGGGAAACTTTTTTGAAAGCTGTGTTTAGTTATGGGGCGGGGGATCTAGAGGAAAAGTCAGGTAATAATCCTACAGAGCAAACAGAATCAGAACAATGAAATGCTTTGCTTGGGCAATGGTGCCAAGGACTTTGGACTTACACTCCCGTTAAAATGCTGGTGCCTGCAAATTATTCTTAAATATCCGGAATTCTTAGTAAAAACATCTGGGCAATAAACGTACATTTCCCCCCACAAAGGCTGTTTTCTTGACTGTTCTCTTCTTACTAGGAAGACAAAACTCGTTTCAGAAAAATGCAAATAAGCAAACAGAAAGCATGCCCAGATGCCGTCACAGCCATGGTTAACACCTTCATGTGCGTCTCAGAGAGGTCGAGAGCTATTCAAGGTCACACAGCTATTCATCGACACACCTGGAATTAGCACTCAAGCGTCTTTGACAACAGAATTCAGGATTGTCCTTGTCTTCTGACATATAAACACTTGCCTTTAGGAACCTAAACACTAACAGGTGTCTCTCAGACTACAGCTGTGCACCTTTAGTGCTATGTAGAAATAATTCAGGGAGTTGTCTGGTTCTCTGAAAAAAAACCCCACACCTCTAAAAGTGTATTTTCATTTTGCTGGGGATGTGAGGTGAAAGATAATTTCCTTTGTATGCTTGATGACTTTCTGAGTGACGTCTTGAGATTTCTATGCTGCATTTGCACATAGGATGCATTCATTGGCACCAAGTTGGGCCACTTTAACTATGAACCAGCGGGAGAGGACACAGGCTGATTTCCTACGTCACACAGTATTGGGTTGAGGCCAAGTGTGGCTGCCAGGCCCTCAAAGAATGAAGGCATTGTAGCTGCGATGGAGAAAAGCAAAGTGATATTTGAGCCACAGAGTAACGGTTGAACTCCCAAAGAACCTGCACTGCGGCAAAACATACCAGGCTTCTTTTGTTAGCTTAGTTTAGTTGCAGCAAACCAATGAATTCTGTTAAGGCAAATTAGTGTGAACTTAAAGTTTACTAGATAGTTTTATTTCTATTTAATGTCATTTTTTCTTGGTTTTATCAGGGCTACCAGCATAAAGGATCTATACCTATTTTAATGTGTATATATTTAATGTAAGAAGATAATTTTCTTATACACTGGGGATTCACAAGATTTTTCCCTATTAAAAATTCTGCACATTACTGAGATTTGAAAACAATAATATTGTACTGTTTTTGTGTATATTCTTTAGCTATTTCTTTGTGATTACCATGGGGATTACATCAGACATCCTAATACCCTAATTGTATTTATATCATCTTAACCTCAATAATATACACAAATTCTGCTCTTTTAACAGCTTCATTCCCACCCCTTCCAGTTGATGTCCTAAAATTAAATGTAAACTTTTTTTTTAATGCACTAATTTCTTAAATTATGTAGAGAACAAACTGGATTTACAAACCATTGTTATAAAATTACCAGCTTTTAGACTAACAGCTTTTTAAAATGTATTAGTCTATTAAGTCATGTAGAAAACAAAAAGTGGAGTTACAAACCCTTGTTACAATACTAGCTTTTACAATTGCCCATGAACAAATGTTCTTAATTTTGATGAAGTCCAATTAATCATTTTTTCTTTTGTTGCTTATGCTTTTGATGTCATATCTAAGAATCCATTGGCAAACCCAAAGTCATGAAGATTTACCCCATGTTTCCCTCTAAGAATTTTATGGTTTAGCACTTGTATTTAGGTCACTGACACATTTTTAGTTGGTTTTTGTATATGGTGTGAGGTAGGGGTCCAATTTTATTCTTTACCACGTGGAAATCCACTTTTCCAGCACTATCAGTTGAATAGATCTTTTCTTTATTGAATGATCTGATTCTCTTTCAAAAACCAGTTGTCCATAGGTGTATGGATTTATTTCTGGACTCCCAATTCTATTCCATTAGTTTGTATGGCAGTCCCTTTGTAAGCCAGTACCACACTGCTTTTGTTGTTGTTTTGTTTTTTAAAATGTTTTTTATTGATTTCAGAGAGAGAAAGGGAGAGGGAGAGAGTGATGGAAACATCAATGATGGGAGTCACTGATCTGCAGCCTCCTGCACCCCCCCGCCCCCCGGGTATGGAGCCTGCTAGCAACCTGGGCATGTGCCCTGACCAGGAATTGAACCATGACCTCTAAGCCACATTGGCTGGGCAGTAACACACTGTTTTGATTACTGGAGCTTTGTAGTAAGTTTTAAAATTGGAGAGTGTGAATCCTCCAACTTTGTTCTTATTTTTCAAGATAATTTTGGCTTGCAATTACATATGAATTCAAGAATCATCTTTAGTATTTCTCAAAAAAAGACTGGAATTTTGATAGTGATGGTGTTGAATCTGTAGATCACTTTGGGTAGTATTGATACCTTAACAATATTAAATTGCCCTATCCGCGAACACAGACTGACTTTCCATTTATTTAGGTCTCCTTTCATTTCCAGCTATGTTTTGTAGTTTTTCATGTACACATCTTTCTCTTCTTTAGCTATATTTATTCCAAAGTATTCTATTCTTTTATTAAATGTTATTATAAAAGGTACTGATATCTTAATTTCCTCTGTGAAATGTTCATTACTGGTGCATAGAAATACAACTGATTTTTGCATTTTGATCTTGTACCCTGAGACTTTTTCAAATTCATTTATTAGCTCTACAAGCTTTCTCATTTGGTATATTCTATATACAGGATCGTGTCATTTTTAAGTAGAGTTTTACTTCTTCCTTTGCAATTTGGATGCAGTTTTATTTCTTTTCTTGTCTAATTGCTCCAGCTAGAACTTCCAGTATAATGTTGAACAGCAGAAGTGAAAGCAGGCATGTTGTCTGGTGTCTGATTTGGGGAGAAAGTGTTCAGTTTTTCACCCTTGAGTATGATGCTACCTGTAGGTTTTTCAAAAATGCCTTTTACTATGTTGAGTAAGTTCCTTGTTTTGTGTTGGTGTCTCTGTATTGTTACTTACTGTATTTTTATTTTGTTCACCTCTACTTCTTTGCTATAATGACATGTTTTTTCCTTTGGAGATTATAAATGAATTAAGTGGGCCAAGGTGTCTTTTCTCTCTCATGTATGCTATAGTCAGAAACAATAAAATTTCTACATTTTGGGGATATTGTCATCCAAATTTCCTTTTTTCTTCTTCATTTTAACAGGTAATGCCAAGAATCTGGCACTAATCCAACAAAGTGTTTGTTTGTTTGTTTGTTTGTTTGTTTTGGTTCATATCAGCCTAGTGTTCCCCATTTACCTACCACCTCTGCCCTGGAATCTGACACTTTTGTGTGTTTCCCCAACAGTGAATCACCCAGAACCCTCTTAGGACCTGTGGTGGCTTTTGCTAAAGTATCAAGACACTTTGCGAGAATGACCCCTTCCCACCTGCCTGCCGTCTTGTCTGGACTCCCACTAAGAAGAGATCTGCCTTTGGGCTGACTAGCTCTTTAATGCTGGGTGCGGAGAAATACATTATTTCTGCTGTTTTCCTCTTTGACAACTGAAGAGTGACAAGGGTGTGATGGGAGGAAGGAAGAGGCCAGGAAAGGAGAGGGGCGGGGCAGGGCCAGGGCTCTGTTTCGTGTCCTCTCTTTGCTGTGTGTACCCTTCTCTCAGCCAGCACTCACTACGGTGATCGGAACGTCCTCAGGTCCCGGCATAAGACTTTGTTTACTGGTTGGCGGTGCGACATGGGCGAAGCCAGTGGCCGTCCACGCGCGGTCCAGCCACGCACCCTCTCCTGTCCGACGGTGTATCCCTCTGAGAAATGCAAACACAATTCCACCAAAGCCACACTTCCATAACCATCAAGTTCGTATTATTTCTTCTTACGTTGCCAAGTAGATCCCTGACCCAAGGAGTCATGAATCTCCATGAGGCTAAATTACCTCCTCGGGTATTGGAGCAACCACCTCCAATAAAGGATCTTGGAGCTCACAGGCAGAGAGACTCGAGCAAGGCCACGTGGGTTGCCAGTGGCAGGGAAGGGACAGTCACCCAAGGCCCGGCTCAGCTCCACCGCACCTGCTGTGACTGTCATCTCCCCTCAGAGGCTGCAGCCTGCACAGTTAAGTACCCCCCACCACTCAGCCCTGCCCAGAGGCCAAGCAGGCAGATCACCTCCATCTCTCCATTCAAACGAGGGCTGCCCCGGGGAGGAGCTGTTCTAAGGAGATGAGAGGCAGAGACTAAGGAAGGAGCTGAAGAAACACTCGGGGTGTTTTCTGAGTCTCATTTCACCTTTTCTCTTCCAGCACAACTGAACTGGACCAGAACAGCCTTCGATGCGTGCAACTTTCTGTTAAGAGGTGGCCCTGGAATTTAGGGTCCACATCAGCCCAGTAGGGACTCTCCTGGCTGACGTTCCCATGGCCAAAGGAAAAAGAGGCGGGTGGCCGAGGAGGGGCGTGCGGGATGCCCAAGCGGAGGGGGCTGGGGGCTCATACCGGGGTTCTTCCTCCCGCTGTCAAACCTGTATCCCTGATGGCCAACACCCAACTCTCTCATCAGGGGGATGTGCACCCCTAGTCTGCCCGAGACAAGTGGAGGTGGAGAGTGTGATGGACAGCGACTGGGGGTGAACATTTAGCGCCAGGAGCCTCTGCCTCTAGCCTAATAAAATCAGTGCAATAAGAACCCCAGCAGCCTCGGTTACTCGTTTACTTTCTGAGACAAAGATCAGGCGCAGCCAGCAGGGCAGAGAAAGAAGAGGGGGGGCCCCGCGCGAGGGCCCGCAGCGACCTCGGTTCTTGCTCTACGGCCGGTACTTGCACAGGAAGTGTTGGACCTTGTGGCACTCCTTGCTGTCCCAGGTCAAAAAATCTGCAAGAAAACGAACAGACATGGAAATGCATCGGGTTCTATGCTGAGCTCAGCAACGCTTTCTGGGTGTTCTGCTTGGAAAGGTACCGTGAAGGTGAATTTTATGTGTTGACTTGGCTAGCACGTGGTGCCCATGGTCAAGTACCAGCCTAGATGTTGCCGTGAAGGTATTTTTTAAAAATGTGATTAGCATTTAAATCAGTAGACTTGGAATAAAGCAGATAGCCTGTCACAATGTGGGTGATCATCTAATCAGTGAAGGCCGTAAAAGAAAAGACCGAGGTCCCCCAAAGAGGAGGGAATCTGGGGTTCCCCAAATGTGACATATTCCTCCCTCGTGGCATAAAATAGGACTTAAAAAAAAAAATACACCCATATTTAAGGAAAAAGGGAGTGGGTGTAAAGAAAATGTTAATAACCGAACAGCTGGTACATTGATATGGCAGGTTGTAAAATGGTTGCAAATGACTGAAGGTTGGGACACAGTGTTTGTGACAAGGCCACTGTCCTGGAGAACAAGACAGGTGTGAAACGAGGGAGGAGCAAGTCCCTTCCTGCTCAGAGCAGGTCAAGGGGAGGGGGGAGGCGATGCTCGGAACTCACCGCTGTTGGCGTTCATCTCCGCGCAGTGCTTGTTTGCAGCCATGGACCTGGACTTGCTAGCCCAGGTTTTGAATAAATACAAGGTCCCGTCGATCCACTGCCACTGCTGCCTCTGGAAATGACAGGAGACAGGACACGCAGGCGTCAGCCCCCCAACCTCTCACAGCCCGGGGTCAGCGCTCACTCCCTCACAGCCCAGGCTCTCCCCTCGGCCCCTTTAAAACTCAGTTTTTATTGTAAAAATTGGGAAAGCACAGGAATGTGTGAAGGAGAACAAATTGAAAGTCACTCCATAAACACTACTGATCTCTTAGGGTATTTACTTCTACCGTAAACATTTTTATCCATCACAGTATTTTTAAGTACTAAAAACCATGGTGATCTTTAAAATATATACCCAACTTGGTATCTTGCTTCCGAAGCATTTTTTAACAGTAAGGATGTAGCATAATTTACCTGAATGATTCCCCTAAGGATTGATGTTTATACTGTTTTCAATTTACAATGATTACAAATAATACTGCTATGAACAACTTGGTTCATCAAGCTGTTTCTGTACTTAATTTTCTTGGACTAGAATCCCAGAAATAGGACTAGTGGTCAGAGGGCATGCATGTCTTGAGGGTGTTGAGATGCATTGCCAAACTGCTGCCCAAGACAATTCACTCGGAGGAATTTACATCGCCATCTACTGGGCGATTTGTTCCTATCCTTAAAAATATTATTGATTATGACAAGGCAAAAGTTTGACATCATAAATCATGTCACTTTAATTTGCATTTCTTGATAACCAGAGACACCACACACTTTTCAGAATGTTTGTTGGCCACTTACTTTCCTCAGTCATCAATGTAAAAAATTAAGTTACAAAAACTCTCTAGTGGAAATAGCTTTAAATATTTATTTTATCTCGGAATGAGAGAGCTCTGGTTGATAGCAGTGTGAATACATAAAAATGGAAAATTAATTTTAAAAAATATTTGTGACATCTATGGTAAAGTTTTATCAAGAAGCAGTCTGGGCCCTGGCCGGTGTGGCTCAGATGGTTGGGCGTCATCCTGTGCACTGAAAGGTTGCAGGTTCAATTCCCAGTCAGGGCCCATGCCCAGGTTGCAGGCTGGATTCCCAATAGGGGGCATACAGGAGGCAGCTGATCAATGTTTTGCTCTCACATTGATATTTCTCTCTCCCTTCTCTCTCTCTAAAAATAAAAAATAAATAAATAAATAAAAGCTGGTAATTTTGTGTCCTAAGGTTTGGGAGGATTTTAATTAGAACTGGACCCTGACCTTGAGGCCTTGGCCCTCTGAGTTGGAGGTGTGTGACTGAGCAAGATCCTCTCTGTGTGCCCTCTGTCAGGGGCCTGGCAGCTGGTTCCCAGGGAGGGGCTGTCTCCCTGGCTTCCCCAGGGGGGCATTTGTGGGCCACGTCTGAGTTTACCTTCTGTGGGTCATGGAGGCCGATCCACACGGGCAGGTTTTTCTGATAGCCACTTATGTACTCTGAGATGGCCTTGGCTTCCTTTAAATTCTGAATAGACGCCAGGTGGGCTCCAAAGGACTGACACTCGAGCTGTGGGCAAGGAGAAGTCAAGATAATGATGCCTTGAGGCCTAAAAGCATAACCCTCGCCTCAGGCCCTAGTGCTCCAGGCAGCAGGGACTTGCATAGCCCCACCTCCTCCAGAAGTTGTCATCTAATCCCCACAGAAGACTTCCTGTCTTTCCAGTCACCCAGGGGCAGAACACACTGTCACGAGTGCCAGGTCTCAGAGGACAAAGCAGCTCCAGGCAGGGGCACGAGCTTTAGGGTCCATGGAAGTGCCTGGGGTCCTGGTCTCGCCTCTCATTAGTGTACGTGACCTGGATAAGTCACCTCACCTCTCCGAGGCTTAGTTTCATGATCTCACATTAATTTGGCACTTTTTAAGGCCAGAGTAGACTTGGATCCTTGGTAGCTATGTCACGGTAGGTGCTCCGTCATTGCTCAGTTGCCCATCCTGGGCCCAGATCCCCCCATATGCCCGCATGAGGGTCCCCCACAGTCACTTCAATTAAACAACCTCAGTCCAGAGAGGCAGCAGCCCCACGCTCCTCTGAGGTAACTCAGTTTCACTGGCTCTTTGGGTGTCTCTTAGGCAAAGCTGCGGCGAAACACAACTGATGTGCATGTTGGGCCCGGCAGACACCGCTCTGCAGCCCTCTGCCGCCCCTTCGGCAGGGCCCTGAGGCCTGAGCGCAGGCTGCCCACGCTGGCTCCCTGTCTCGTAAATCTCCTGCTGCAGTTCAATCACTGTTCCCGTGATTTCTCAGCTCCTGGTCTTCCTCTGGCTCAGGGGTTTCTGCCTTTCTCCTGACAGTGAACTCCCGGAGGGCAGGGGCTGTCCCTTCTTCATTCTTATGCCCTTGCAGCCCATCTAGGGTCTGGGCAGAGAGCACGTGCTCCATCAATGCTCGAAAAATGGAATGAGTTGGACACACAACCCTCTTCCCTCCCTTTAACCAGCCAGGCGACTCCTCAGGATGCAAAGCAAGGGCCCTTGATTCTAAGTCAAAGGAGGCCCGGAGCCCAGGGTGAGCCCTGGCTTTAGAGAAGCCCGTCCAAGCGGGGCCCGCGCTTCTTACCTCAGCATCCGACCAGTTCCTCAGCTTTCGGAAGTAGCCGTAGCAATTGGACTTGTGGTAAAACCATCCGGTAGCACAGCTGGGCCTCAGGATGATGTCTGCACACAGACAAAAGGCAATGACGAGCTCTGACTGCAAAAGCCGTCCATTTCCACACGTGGTCCCGTTTACAGACCTGGGGCCCTGAGGAAGGACCCTCTTATGCTCTCAGTTCTTTAGGCGGCGGGCCCTTCTCCCAGCCCTCCCCAAGGGGAGCTGTGCCCCCTGACCAGGGAAGCTGTGCTGGGGAAAATGAAATAATCAGATCCTTCGCGGATTACTGGACACTGGCTCTGAACGGACACTAATTCCAGGAGAAGCAAAATGTCACTCCACCAGTCAGGGGAGGGGCTTCTGGAGTCAGGTGGTCAATGGAGTATTGGCTCAGGCCCGTCTCACAGTGGGGACATCCTGTGGTTATTTCCCGTCACTGAATGCATGATTGGCTAGACATACTCAGCACCAGGCAGAACCCCCACATTGGTACCGAGATCAAACAGCTATAATTTCAGGCATCACAAAGAGGGAATGGAGTTTTTTTTTGTCCAGGAAGATACAGGACAGGTTAAATGGCAACTTGGCTGAAAATTGAGAGTAGGTAGGCTGTGGGTCAGTAGCCAGGGGAGGGGACACATTACGCAAAGGGGGTGGGTGAGCAGGGAAATAGAAAAAGGAGTGGGCAAGATGGGCACGGAAAGGGCAAGTACGTGTTTGTCTGAAGCGCAGGGTATCCGCCAGGTAAGCAAGGTTGAAAGGGAAGGAGAGTCAGGGCCTAGGTGCCAGGGAGGCGTGATCCAGAGAGGCCACTCTCTCCCTGCTGGGCGACTGGTGAATGGGCCACGTCACTGGGCCATTCAGATTGCCTTGTTTAACTACCAGAACCTTCCTGAGAGATAGATGTCCCATTGCACAGATGAGAACAACTTCTCAAAGAGGTGATGTGGCTGCCCAGCCGGTGTGGCTCAGTGGTTGAGCATTGATCCATGAGCCAGGAGCTCACGGTTCAATTCCCGGTCAGGGCACATGCCTGGGTTTCGGGCTTGATCCCCAGTAGGAGGCGTGCAGGAGGCAGTCGATCGATGATTCTCTCATCATTGATGTTTCTATCTCTCCCTCTCCCTTCCTCTCTCTGAAATCAATCTCTTAAAAAAAAAAAAAAAAAAAGAGGTTAAGTGGCCTGTTGAGGTCCCTTAGATGGAGGTGAGGTGGGACCTGGGAAAGGGCTAGAGTTCCTCCAGCAGCCCTGGAAACCTGACCCCTCCTCTCGTGGTGCTAGAGCTCCCTGTCACCATGTGCATGGCAAAGCCTTTAGCTGCTGGCACATGGCCTGGACTGCAACAGTCTGTTTATGCCTTCGCTTCTAGATGTGGCCTCGGGAACATTCTGTAACCTCTTTTAGCTTTAATTTTCTTGCTTGCACAGTGGACTGATAATATGTACCTTTCTCATCATTGGGAGGGTTAAATGGGCTAATGCATGGACAGTGATCAGCATAGAGCTGGTACGTAGTAATTGCTCAATAAACAGTAGCTGCTTAACCGACTGCGGCTATTAAAATAATCACATTATCATTATAGCTGGTGCAATATTTTTGAAAATAGTCCCTGGATGGAGCCTTTTGTTATCCGCAGATCGTGATGCTTTTTGTCTCCCTGGTCGCTGAGTGAATTGTTTCAGGGGAAGGGCAGCCGAGAGCCAGGACAGAGAAATCCCTGCTGAGGCAACAAGGTAATGATCTTGACCATCAAGTCTTGTTGAGAGAGAAAACTCGCTTCTCGTTCCCCATGCTCCCCGTCAGTGCAAGATCAGACTTTTTCCATAAGCCATAATGCCAAGAATACCTAGGATGTGTCGTGACAGGGTCCCCCAAGACAGTAATAGCAGAAAGCCTGTGCTCAGCTGGGAGGAAGATCTGTGGAAAAGTAATGGATGGGCCGGGGGTGAGTGTTCTGGCTTTACCTTCTCCAGGAGAGAAACCAGAGGGGTTGGGAGAAATCCCGCAGTGGGGGAGGGGCTTGTTTCGGCGTCCCAGGGTAGAACTTGGGCAGACTTCAAGCTGCCTTAGGGAAGCCAGAACCAGAGCAACTGGAACTACCTGGTTAGCTGGTTAGAAAAGGCCAGGGGAAGCGGCTGTGGGCTCAGTTCCAGCTGAGTGGCTGATACTTACCGCCCAGGACTTCGGTGCTGGCGACCAGCAGGAGCAGCCACACGCTTTTGAAAGCCATCTTCCTCTTCCCTGGGGGACAGACGGACAGGCTTTGGAAACCTTTACTGAAAGGATCTCAGGGCCCTTGTCACTGTTGCCTTGAAGCTCCTGGGTTCACCTAGATCTGCAATCCAAACACATTTGCACTGGTGAGACGGACCCAGGAATTTATTTATTTTTTATTTTATTTTATACATTTTTAAAATATATCTTTTCTTGATTTCAGAGAGAGGAAGGGAGAGGGAGAGAGAGACAGAAACATCAATGATGAGAGAGAATCATTGATCAGCTGCCTCCTGCAGGTCCCCCACCGGGGATCGAGCCCACAACCCAGGCATGTGCCCTGACTAGGAATCGAACCGCGATCTTACAGATCATAGGTCAATGCTCAACCGCTGAGCCACGCCAGACTGGGCAGGACCCAGGAATTTAGATGCCAAATCACATGGAGAAAAAAATATTTTTCTGGCTAAACCAAGATTATACAATAAAGGGAATCTTCAACTAAATGTTCAGCAGATTAGGAAAATTCACCTTATGAGGTGTTGTTTTCACCTGCAAGGTCTCTGGACCAGTGCCAGGGGCCTACGTATACTGGGCTGAATGGTTTAAAAGCCCCAGTGGAGGCATTTGGTATATTGTGGAGAGCCTGCCCCTGCTGTTCTCAGGAGGACACCACGGGGAGTCACAGGCAAGATTTCTCACCCATGTGGCAGCAGTGGGCTTTCTGTAGCCAAGTCAACCCAATCAAGTTGGTCCCAGCAGTGAACCGTTTGCTGTTAAGCTTTAAAAGTGAATATATGGTCTAATGCCCACATTTTACAGATGAGAAAACCTGAGGCTGACGGGTCTGAAGTCATTCGCTCATAGTCACCCAGCTACAACCAGATTTTCTGACTTCAGCGGGAGGCAACAATCAATGTTTCTCTCTCTCTCCCCCTCCCTCCCTCCACGCTCTAAAAATCACTGGGGAAAATACCCGCAGTATTTTCAACACCAAACTGAAGAAGCCGAACATCTCTTTATATAATCATTAGCTTTTTAAAGGTTCTTTTGTAAATTTTTGGTTTACAGCTTGGCACACTTTCCTGTTTGACCGTTTATCTTTTTTCTCAGGAATTTGCAAAGCCTTTCTTTGAACAGTTATTGTTGTTGTTGTTTTTTTTATATTACTAAGATTACCTCCCGGTTTGTATTTTGTTTATATATTGTTTGCCATACTGACAATTTCAAAAACTGTCATAACCATCTTCTCTTTTATAACTGTTAGAATTCATATTAGAAAAACTGGCCATCACCATCCACACGCCCACCCATATTCGCCTCTGTTTTCATCCATCTGGCATTTATTTTAGTGTAAGCATGAGATTGGGTCCAAGATTTCCCCCCAAATAATTATTAAGATGGGCAATCCGTTGACTTCTCATTTAAGCATGCGTTATGATAAAAAAAAAAAAAAAATCAGGGCACGTGTTCTAACTCTCACAGAATAGATTGCTTAGGGGGAATGACGGCCGTAACATTTGAAACAGAAACTTTCCTGGAAAATCTAAAGATGAGCGCCGTATGGACACTTGGACACAGTGTTAAGCAAGAGGAAACAGAAGGATGAAGACTGTGGGGCTGTGAGGACCGCCCCCCCCCTTTAAAAATCATTGCATTCGCCCTGCACTCCTCTGACAAGCTTCCTCCCACAGCGATGGAGGAATTCTCAGCGCCCCGAAGCACCCCTGAAACACAAATAGTAAGAAGGCCTCTGCCAAGCCCACGATCTGGGGCTGGGGAGGGAGGCGCAGCATCTTTCCAAAGAACCTATAAGTGAATGTTAGCGAACCCCACTCATGAGTATTCACGGCTCATCTATCTAATTTCACCCCAACAACGAGGCTGCCCTGCAGGTGCCACTTGCTTCCTTTACACGTGAAGACACTGGCAGTCGTTAGGGTTGACTCTCCCGTCCTGGCCGGGTGGTTCAGTGGGTTCAAGCATCGTCCCGTACGCCAAAGGGTTTCGGGTTCGATCCCTGGTCGGGGGTCGAGTACAGGAGGCAACCAATCGCTGTTTCTCTCTCTTCCTCTCTCTCTAAAAATCAATAAACATATCCTTGGGTGAAAAAAAAATGAACTTTCCTAAAGCTTCCCAGCTGCCAGGTTGCAGAGCCAGGATTTAGCCCCAGCACTGACGCCAAGGCCAGTGCTCTTTCTAATCAGCGAAGAAAGAAAAGAAAGTCATCCGCATCAATCGACACGGAGACGAGAAGCGCGCCTGGCACGCCTGGCACCACCGGGCTGCACCGCGTCACGCCTGGCCCCTGGGGAGCTGGCGGAGAGCAGGGGGGCTGTTACCTGGTCGCCGTTCAAGGCTCTGAGGACCCGCCTTCGTCGGCCTCCAGAGAGACCCCAGGCAGCTCCGGGGGTTCTTATATCTTCTTCCCTCAGGACTTATGTGGCCTCTGTTGTAATCATAGAGCAATAACAATGTTTGCAAGTGATAATCAACCCATAAAAGTCTTATCTCGTCCTGGGAGCTGCGTGAGAGGTGGCTTGACGGCGGGTGGGAGCTGCGGGCCCAGCTGCGGGCCCAGCGGCAGGAGGGGGCCGCTCCCCGTTTGCACACAGGCTCTTCCCTTCAGGCCAGGTTGTCACAACCGGCGAGACCCCGTCCTCAGCGACAGCTGCCTCTTCCTCTCCGCTCGCTCAGGTTTTCTTTGCTCTCTTTCCCCCCTTGGCTGTATTTCTCCTTCCTTTCTATAAAGATGCCCCACTTCAACTCTGGGGACTCATATTTGTACCCTTGCGGAAAGGATTTGCCCCGGGGACAGGACAGGGATTATGTCCCTGCGTTGAGCTTGAGGACCTACAGGCTTTCTCTCTAAAGCGCCAACCGGCCCCTCTCAGCAGGCACCTGGCTCCTCCAGGATCTCACTGAGCTCCCCCTCCTCGAGCCCCGGGACCAGACACTGAACCCTGTCCTGACCCAGGGCAATCGAGCCTAAATAGCTTACGTGACATGCAGTGTTTTACAATGAAGTGTTTTCACCTCAGTCATCAAATGAGATCTTCACAGAACCCCTGGGAGCAACGTAGGACGTGCACCCCCCATTCGCACCCAAGAAACCCGACGTGGGGAGCCAGGAGGCCTGGCCACCTTCACAGGGCTGCCGGGCGGCGGAGCCGGGGGCGGCCCAGGCTTTCTCACCCGAGTCTAGCTCCCTCTGCGGAACCACAGCCTGATTAAAAAATAGCCTGTTTGGAAAGGGTAACAAGGTTCCCTTCTCCAGTGTAGATAGCGAAGGATTAACTATGTCGTAGGTGCTGGAGATTATTCAGACTTCAACTAGAGGCCTGGCGCAGTTGGTTACAGCGTCGTCCCGATACACCAAGGTGGCAGGTTCCATCTCCGGTCAGGGCACATACAAGAAGCAGCCAATGAGGCATAAATAAGTAGAGCAACAAATTGACAAAATTCTCTCTCTCTCTAACAAAAAAACCCTCAACTGCTAGACTAGAACCTCAACAGACTAGAACTTTGCTGGTGATCAAGTCCCACTTGCTCTGCTGATGAGGAACTTGAGGCCCAGAGACGCACCGTGACCGTTCGATGCACAGCCAGTTGGCAGTGACGCTGGTTTCAGAAGCAGGGTTTCCTTGCCCCCGGCACAGTGCTCTCCTTCTGCTGCTGCTCAGCCTTTGTCATTGGGGTTTCCAGCCTGGGTACACACTCACGGAAGCACAGAAGAAAGTAAGGCTCCCATGGTTTACAAAGGACATTATACAGGACCTCTGCCATTCCAGTGATGCTCCGGAGAACTGTCACAAGGGTTGGCTTCCCGTGGGTCTTGGTCCAGGTCCTAATTCTGTTCCCCACTCACTGTGTAACACCGGGCATGTTCCCGAACCTCTCTGCAGCCCTGGTTTCCTAACTAACCGTATGTGTGTGATATTACCAGGCGAGTTTTATTTTTCACACTACCCTCCCCCTTTGGGCAGCTGAAAGGGCATCGCCATTGCTTCCCCGCACAGCAGAGAGCAACGGTATTAAGTCCCAGGGTCGTCAGTTCAAAGGCACTGGTCCAAGCGTGAGAGAGGAGAGTTTCGACAAAATATGTGTTCAGGTAAATCTCCCTGTTCCCTAGCCCTCCCTCTGCTGTCTCCATGCCGCGTCTTGGGATCAGAGAGGTCAGAGAAGGAGATCAGATAAGAGAAGTAGATGCCCATAAGACTTTAAGAGGCCTTTCAGTCTCCAAGCTCCTTCAGCCTGGCACCACGCCTTCCTCATCTCTACAGCCTGAGGCTCAGGAGGTTTCAATGCCAAATGGACCAGAATCCTAAGGAAGCAGGTGCCTCCAGGCCTGTTCCTTTGTCTTCTTAGGTGCCTCCTTCTGTAGGACAAGCAAGCGCAGATTATCTTCCCCCCACAACAGAAAAAAAAGCTTCACTTAATTATTTTTATTTTTATTTTTTGAGAAGACAATCACCTCTTTCTGAGAGAGAAATGTTTTACGTCCTCTCGTGGCAAAATTTATGCCCTAAGCCCACGTGAAGCATCTTACCTTCCTCCACGTGGCGATTCTACTTGGCCACGTGAAAAGACTGCTCCACGTGCAAACACTTACAGTGATATGTCTCTCCAGGTGGGTGATATGTTTCTGAAAAGAGGAAGGTGGTTAAAAATGCTGCCAAAAGAGTGAATTTTCTGGTGGAAAATAAAATATGACCCCTTGAGGTAGTTCCACAAATACTCAGGAAGCTCTTGTTAAAAGAAAAAAGACCCACAGCCCCAGGTGGAGCTACTTGTCCCCAGGTCAGCAACCCAAGACTTAGTTGGCAGTTTCTGCTCCTCTCAGGGGTGGAGTTTGAAGCTGGGATTTCCTGATGAACTCGGTAATGTGCCTGAGAAGACCCCTGACAGTCCCTCCCTCCAAAGACAGGTCACCTTACCTGAAACAATCCTTTCTGTCCTTCGGCTAATAACCTTCTTGTCCTGTCCAGTTTCCTATAAAAACCTTCCATGTTGCACAACTCCTCAGCTCACCGATGGAGGGGTTCTTGCCCCCTTTCAGGGTAGAAATCAAGAGAGCGGGCCAAACAGACTCAAAAGAGGTTTACTGAAGCCTGGATGAGGGGAAGAGAGAGGTAGGGAGCCCCCGACAGGGCAGGGCTCTGGGCTGCTGACGCCCGGCCTGCGGAGCGCTGGTTCTTCCAGCAGCGCGGGCCGGGTCTCTGTTCTGCGGTTCCTGCCCTGGGCCGGCCTGATGGCGCTACCCGAGGCTAGTGGCTACCAGGTTGGACAGCACAGACCCAGAAGAAGGGAGCAGGTGTTTTTGTAGCAACAGGTAAACATGAAACAAAAGAGAATTGGTTCCGATTTGCGAGGAAGCTTAGAGACAGAGGGAAACTTTGGAGAAGTGAGTCCTGAGAGCTCGAAGGAACTGTGGGGAGTTTGGGTGGGGGCTGGGGTGTAGAACTTAAATTTCCGTTAAATTAAATTAGATCGCCAAGCTGATGCCTAGGTCACGCGTCACTAAGAAGTCTCTGTGGCGTCTGCAGGGTGCTTTCTGACTCGGGTTTTCCTGCTCGAAGCTGGGATGACCGTGTCCCTGTGCCTTCGCCTTCCCATGGCCGGTGAACTCCGTCTTGAGTCAAATCCTGGCTGCTCGCCGGCTTCTTCGCTGGAGGTCAGGGAGAATCATCCCCGGCTTCGGTGTGACAGCGAGTCCCTCGGTCCTTGTAACAAATGGACAGTTCCTACTGTACTGTCGGTGCCTGTTGGAAGCTTTTCTAAAGGGTCAGTTATTTTTCGGTATCGAAACATTTCAATACTGTTCAATTGGCAGGGGCCGGGGGCTGGCTGGCACCTAAGGGAACGGTCAGTGTGAGAAAGACGAGGGAAAGGTGCTTTAGGAGAATGTGGGAAGTGAAGTCTGGTAGAGGGAGCTGGGAGAAATCTAAATTGACTGTAATAATGACACAGTGGGCCTTAACATTTTAAAAAATTCCACATCCTAAGAAAACAGCATAAGCTACTCATTGTTAAAAAACAAACAAAAAGCCATGGAAGAATTCCTCCTCACCCCCCTAGGGTGCACATTGTTACAGTCTTGGACTTCGTACTTTCATATTTGACAAAAGGATTGATCAGGAGCCCTGTAACATCCCCTGATAGTGGAACAAATCCTATCAGCAGGAGGGAGGAAATGAGTCACTGAGGATGTTCATTAACTTTTACAGCCGTGGAAACTCCTCTCTTGGACAGTAGGGTTTATTCCCACTCACTCACCCCGATGCAGGGGGCAGGTGGCATGGCGGGTCTCCCCGTCTCCCCGGTTCCTGGACAATCTGTTATCTACTGTGTGGAGGGCCCTGCAGTGAGAAAGTGCCAACCGATTCCTTCAAGAGGTGCGACGGAAGTCAGGCCACAGAGATGTCCACTGAAAAGTCTATACGTGACTGGCTCCCTCCCTCCCTCCCTTCCTTCCCTTACTCTTTAAATTGCTTTATTTCCACTGTACTGCTATCCACTTGTTTCCCGTCTGGGGCAGGGGGGAGGGGATACCATATCACACCTGCTAAATTATCGGGTGAAAACGTAATTCCCCTTGTTGCCGAATTCCTTAATTTTTCTTGTTTTGCATTAAAAAATATCTTTATGATAATTACTCTATTAGGTTTCATTTACATTGCACGAAATACAAGAAATATCAGAGTTTCGATAAAATGGACACTTTTAAATTACATTCTGGGGGAGATAGTGGCGTCCTAATGAACAATCTCAGTGTCGCTGACGGGATGGAGAAGGCGGCTTCCCCCCAGGGGATCTTCAAAGACTTGAAGTACTTCATCATCACACACATTCTCAGACGTAAAACAAAGTTGAAAGACGTTGCAAAGGTGGGATACTTCTGTGTACCCACCGCTTAGAGTCGATCATTGACTTTTACTCTTGCTGTATCACAGACTCACACATTTCCTATCTCCCAATTGCCTGTAATCCAGGTTGGGGTGGTGGTTTTTTAATGCATTTCAACGTAGATTGGAGACATCAGTCCACTTCCCTCTAAATACTTCATAGTACATATCGTTCACTAACGCTGAATATTTACTTGCAGTTTTTTTATTTTGAGGTAACATTTACATACAACGCAACGCACACGTCTCTAGCATACATCTGCGGTTTCAACAAGCGCATGTAACATGTAAACCAAACCCCTGTGGGGATACAGAACACTCCCGTCACCCTACAAAGTTCCTCGTGCCCCTTCCCAATCATCTCCTACCCCAGCCATAGTCAAGGGCTGTTCTGATTTTCTCCATCAATTTACATTAATTTAAATCCCAGGACTTCTACCCCTGGAATTAAAGAGTACATACTCTTGTGCACGACTCCTTTCACGGAGTAAAATGTTCTTGAGATTCATCTACACTGTTCTGTGTATCCATAATTTATTTCTTTATTGCTCTCTTTTAGTATCCCAGGGAATGAATGTATCACACTCGATCCATCCTATTGGTAGATACCTGGATGTTTTCAATTTTTGCTATAATAACAGAGCTATGAACATTCTCGTATAAATCATTTTGTGGACATGCTTTAATTTCTCTTGGATAAATACCTAGGAATTACTGAGTAATAGAATAGGTGACTAGGTAGTTGTTTAGTTTTGTAAGAACCTGCCAAACTTTCCCCCAAACTTGGTTAAACCATTTTTCATTCCCACCAACTATGTAAGAGGGGGTAAAAGCCTTTTGCTGCATCTGAAGGGGTTTCCCGCCTACAGGTGTGCATTTTTCTAACCAGAGACATGGCCGATCACTTCAGGGGCATGAATATGGGATCTGGGAACACCCCCGTCACCATCATCCCCTGGGCTTTAGAAAGTAGGTTAACTGTAGGCATCTCATGGTGAGTCATCACACCTGTGCTTAGGGGACAGGGAAATATATTTTTTTGTGCCTTCTTGGTAACCCTTGAAGATAAGGAAGGTTAAAAAAAAATATATATATATATATATATCTAGAAACTTGGGTCTTTGATAAGATTTAAAAGAGAGGAATGCAGGGTTAATGCCAAGAGGCAAACAGGGGACATCAAGTTTGAGCCTATAGGTCAAAGAGTGGAGTGAAACACATGAGGTTTTTGGAAGAAGCCACTCGTTTTACCAGAGCAAAGATGGTTTTTTTTCGTTGTTTATTTTTCTAATACAGCCCATATGCTTAGCTGAGAAGCCCTCTTTATATCTCTTCGATGACGATGTCTTGGTTCAACAATTTCCTAAACATTCTTTTAGATAAGAACTTTATGGGCATCCTCCACAGGGAGCAGCCTTAAAAATAATAAATCTTATGGTTTTATTGCAAAGTCTTGCGTTTGTCGTCTTTTAAAGATGACACAACTTGTAACATGCAAGCTCTGTATCGGTCTCCTCCCTCTACGTACACATCAAACGGGCAAACACTGGGCCGCGGCACAGATGGCCACGGAGCCGGTTCCGCGCTGAGCGCCCCTTATCTGAAACGGCCCGGGAATGCCTGGGCGCCGCAGACAGGCGGTGGCCAACTGGCTCCTTTCGGCTGTGTGCTTCCCAAAGCAAAGCAGTTGGAAAGGAGCCAGAGTTACAGACCGTCAAAGCCAGAGGGGAACATGGGAGTCACCGGTGCCGCCTCCTCGTGCACGGGGGAGAGAATGGAACCGGAGCGGGGCTGAGCCCCGCTCTGTGCTCGCAGTTCCTTGGCGATTGTTACAGTGCAACCTGCTTATGAAGAAGGAAAACCACTCCAGCGAGCTCAAGCCCAAGCCCAGGGGGGTTCCCTGAAAGGCTAAAGAAGGGTCTCGCTGAAACAAAGCGTGGCTGGGCCTCCAGGGCCTTGGCTGGGGAAACCACTCGTGGGCGATGCAGCCAGTGGCTCCGGGATCACATGGTCTGTGTTTCCCCCGGGCATCTGTTCTACTCGCCCGCTCCTTCCCTTAGGCTGGCATTCTTTGTGTTTTCCTCCACAAGTAACTGAGCACGGTCACGCTGGAGGAGGCAGAGGGAAAGGCAAATAACCTCTTTGTGTGCTGGGATTCTGGAGACAGGACTCTATTCTGAAAACCGCTGTAATTCTGTGAAACTCACAACATCCAGAGCCTTAGCGAGGGCATTCCTCTCGGGACATGCCCACCTGGATCACAAACTAAGGGGCACGTGAAAACCAGGAAAGCCAAATGCACTGGTTTGTTCCCCACAAGAATATCATTTATTTGCCAAAGGAAAAATAAGTAAAAAAGCGTTTGGAGAAGAATGAAGAGCCATTTGGATAAACGATACGCTTGTCGATGGATGGCCCCGTGTTGCCGAGTGACTATGGATTTCCTTTTTGCTTTTTTTAAAGATTTTTTGCCTTGGGTTTAACACCTTCAGTGTCAGCTGGTGGTGTTTCTTTCGCTGTGGGTTTTAAGTAATTTCCTATGAATTGCCTGAAAAACACGACAATCACCGTGATGGCTAATAACGTGAGTCGTGTTAACATGAGGAACACAATCTGAACTGAGGCGGGCACCTCGTCCTTCATGGGCCCCGGCGGCCCGCTGTCGATGCTCCCCCCATACCCTTCCTCTTCGCAGAGCGGGGGCGCCCAGCCATACATGCAGTGGCAGTTTTTGTTATTGTTGCAAAAGCCCCTGTGGTTGCACTTCTCAGACAAACAGTCAAAGTTCAGGGCTGAACTATTTATGCAAATTCTGTTCAAACATACCCTGCCTTTGCCACAGGAGGTACCATCACTTATCACACCCAAGTCAGGAAGCCCCATGGGTGTCATGGACAGACGATAGCCTGTGCCCCAGCACATCAGATTTTCATCGTGCAGGTGAGTAGAAATGACACTCGTATGATCTGGCATATCGGGGAGGGTTCTGACGTTTATACACTGGACCCTGCCACATAATGCATTTTTCCTGGCGCACTGTTTATAGTTACCAGCTCCTATAATCCCACAGTTCCCATATTGATCACCTATTACATTAACTGCTTCATAGCACTGATGGGGAGCCTCCTGGGCATCAGGTCCAAAAATGTTCTGGCACTGCATAAATGCGGACCGACACCCCTTCATGAAACAACGGGCCTCGTACTTGCACGGGGTTCCATCCTGCTTATACGTGTCATTTGGGCAGAAATTTGACACCCCGTTGCAGTACTCTGCAAGGTCGCATTCATTTTCTTCCTTCCGACACACGTACCCGGATGGGCGAAAGTGACAGTCGTGACAGCAAAGTCCAGTGCTACAGTTGGCGCCAAGTCTGAGTTTGCAGCCTGCTTCACAACACGGGTCTGTTTCACAGTCCTCTAAGGAACCGCAGTCACACTGTTCACTGTCTTCCACAATTCTGTTTCCACATCTCTTAACCACAAAATCTTTTCCTGGGATATTATTTAGACAGTTTGCTTCGCTCTGCACATGGTTAAAAAATTGGATAACACTACAATTACTAAACCCGTTTCGTCCAGTGCCCATGATGCAACTACGCCTCCCGCGACATCTGCAGTATTTTGTATCATGGATCATCCCCACGCTATGGCCCAGATTATGAGCACCCCAAGTGGCAGGTCCAAGGATGCCTATATCGGGAAAAACACTTACAGATCCAGCATACCTCTTAGTACACACTTTACCCCAGGACCAGGCAACAGCATCAATATAATGTCTTTTAATGTATAGTTGTGCCCAATCTACTGTAAGCTGATTACTTAGTATATTTCTTTGGTATATCAAAAATTGGCCTAAAGTTTTCTGTAATGTTGGAAATTCAGTATCTATTTTGTTTGCATCTGTCCATATTTCAAGTGCAGTCATTAGTATTCTCATATGGAGTTCCTGAAAGTAAGTGTCCATAATCGAAGTCAGAAGGATGGCATCGTTTGTCACGTCGGTAACATTGGAATTTGAAAATAAATATCTCTCATGATCAAAGAGCAGGCCTAATTCAAAATACTTTTGGTGCACAGAGGGTCCAGTTGAGCCAGCAGACCTACCCATGTTCACATGCTGGGGCATCTGCTTTGCTCTTTGGTCATCAGATATGCCACAGATCTGGTTCTGAAACTCCCCCGGGTTCTTCAGGAGATAGACGGCGTGTTCAAAACTGGAAGAGGCCTTGAGGGGCTCGACTTGGTAATATTTGTCATCAATTTTCAGTACTCCTCGGAGGCTCCCCGTGCAGGTGCTGAAAGTAGCCTCAGAATCCTTAGCTCCTTCAACGAAGCCCACATAGTTGCAGTCCCTGGGTACGTAAGGGTAATCTTCCAGGGGTTTCCCCTCTTTTGTGTAGGTGAAAACCTGCAGATGTCGGGCCAGGAGAAGCCTCTTGGGCCGCAGGTGGAGGACATGCTTCTTGCCATTTACCTGCAGGAGGTAGGACATGTGGCTGCTCATATGCCGCTCCCTGTTCGGGAAGCTCAGCTTCTTGGGGATGGTGATTTCATACGAGTCAAAGCCCCAGTTCGGGTGAAAATTTAAATCCTCGCCGAGGGAGTCAACCAGGAGCAAGGCGAGGACCAGCGCCGGGAGCAAAGGGCCTGGGGAGGCCCTGGCTGACCTCATGGCACCGCTGAGACGCAGGGAGGCGGCCCCTGCACTTCCGGGCACGGCCACCAGAGGCGCGCAAAGTGCGGGGCCCAGCGAGCGGGTGCGGAGCGCAGCGCCA